AACATAGATTTTCACGCGGATAATTATACGTGGCATGCTCTCGAATGGACAAACCATCCAGTTTGTTACTGTCTCTCGACGCGCATCCTCAGGAGATCATTATGAGTTATAATGATCTCTTGAGGATGCTAACTTGCGAAACGCGCTTTGCCAGCGTTCCAGTACGAACTATCAAGTAAACATGGACTACCGAAAATTATTGTACATACTATAGCATTAAGAGATTCATACTATTTGTAAGTGTTATTGTTCCGACACACACTTACAATGAGTTAGTTCTTATTTTCTACTTTAGAATTAATTTATGTGGCAAAATATTTACCGGGTCAGCTAGTAAAAAGATTAATACCTTCTCTGGCGTGTATGCTTCACTTTGTCCTTGTTTCCTGTAAGGTCCTCCAAGGCTGTCCATGATCTTCGTCTCTGAGTTTCTGGCTGACATAACCAATCCTGAGTTCCTGAAATGAGGATTAATACTTATCGATATATCAGTTGTGATACAATATTTGAGACTCCTCTTGAAGAATNTCTCTCACACACACACATATATGTATGTTAGAGGATGTACTTAATATATGCTGGATGCAAATATTTAAACTTTTTCAATTTATTTTTAATGCCCTGTCTTCGTGATTTTTTAAAACTGTTATTATATTCCGACAAAACTTTCACAAAAATTTTTTTGCATCGTAAATTAATGAATTCAAATGGCATAAGGTATGTTCATTTTAGCTGTGATTTTTTTATTATTTGTTACCAAATTGCAAACCACCTTTTAGCAGAAGAACATGAGTTCAATAATGAATATGACGTGATACATTCAGAAGGGAAGAGTTTGAAACTCGATCTTCTAGAATGTTTAGAAATCAATATATTCAGAAATCGCGGTAATTTAGTATATTATTATTTGTTTCAAAAGTTTTGTCCGTTTTTATGAGTCCACTCCAAACTGTAAGTTCTCAGTGCACTTTTTCCAACGTAAGCAAACAAATTTCGTGCTGGGAGTTCGATGAAGTCGACGAAGGCCGTTTTCGCCTGGTCCTGATTAGGTTTTTGGTAGTTTGAAAACGTATTGGAATGGTCAAAAGGCTCAAAAAGTGAGTGCTCCACGATTTGAACCATCGACGGGAATTGTCACGTTTTGAGGTCTGTTCTTTTTTGCTTTTACGAAACCAAAACGGACCTTTTTCGGATCGGATCGTCACATGTGATTAAAAGTGGACCATCTACGACAACAGGAGATGTTCAGGACAGTGGTTGAGCACAGGCGAGGACAGAAGAGATCCGGTCCTGTTCCACGACAACGCCCGTCCGCAAGTTTCACAAATCACCGTTCGAAAATTAATCGAATTGAAAGTCGAAGTTTTGCCTCACCCACCATACTCTCCAGACTTCTCTCAAATCGACTCATAAAACCGGACAAAACTTTTGAAAAAACTTATATAATTCCCTTCATCAACATGTTTGTTCCAGTATGCTGAAGTGCCGTCTCATAAGAGCGATTTTTTCGAGAACATGATTGTTGTCTAAAAAATAAATTGATAATTTCCAAATATTTTTATCCAATAATGGTTTCAGAAATATTCTATTTTGTTGATGAGAATATGACATTTATACCATGGAATTGGCCGATACTTGATAAAAATCCATAGCTAAAGTATTCAAAAAACACTTTATTGTGAGATTTTCACTAAACAATTTCACAAAAACGCAACACGTGTTTCGCCATACAATGGCTTCTTCAGGCGTGTCTTTACTAACATATTCAATGCTAAATATAATTATTTTCACAATTTGAAGTACCTACATTTCAAGTACCTGATTTTCATTCAAGTTTGTAATGAATTAAATTACCTGAGCTTATGTCCCAGTTTCCACATTTATATAATATTGAGTAACGGGGAGTTACTCAATTCTAATTGATCGTTCAGTAAATTACCCGAATACCAGAATATACTGATTTCTAAACGTTCTAGAAGATTGAGTTTTAAACTCTTCTATATTAACACGCCATATTTATAATTGAACTCACGTCCTTCTGCAAATGTTTGCAAATGTGGAATTGGTCTTTCAATTTACAAAACTACTTTTAATTCTTTGGGAAAATATTCTCCCTGTTTGGCCAATATACAGTTTTAGGAAAGAGACATAAGTCAGCTTATATACTCCTGATGTATCCGATAACGAAGTTTTGTCTTTATTGTTTTCAATGAATTTACTTAGACCATTATTCGTTCTATGAGCTACATTTACGCATTCTTTCTTGAAGGAACTGGCCATATTATTGGTTGGTTTACCCAAATATGACGATGTCCTATACCTGACGTTACCTCCATGACTAGCTTTTGTAGTTTTTTTTTTGGATCACAATAGAGTGTTTTTTGAATACGTCAATATGACATTCCTCAATTGTTGTGAAAAAGCAGTTTACCACTGGGCAATTATGGGAATAGTCTATTTCAGTCATCTCTAGTGAATCGGTTACAATATAAGGTTCAGAAAATGAAAAAAAAACTATTTTATTAAAGTTTTGGAAAGCATCATCTTTCATAAGAGATTCCAAATGTTTGCACATCTCTTTAGGATTATATATATTTGAATCTATATTTTTCTTATAACACAGCATTTCCTCTTTTTTAGCAACTCATTATAATGATTTTCTAACAACTTATAATTCCGCCACATTTCTTGGTTCTCTTCAATCTTACAATATCTGAAATTTTGCAATGCCCTATCTCTTATTGTGATTTATTTTCAATTCAGTGTCATTATACGACATTTGATTGGGTTCAATAATGATATCAAATTGTAGTAATACAATTGTAAATGTTATGTTGGACAATTCTTCCTTCCTCAGTGATATGATTTATTTGATGAACACTCAAATGAATATTCCAGAAAGTTCTTTGGTGACATAATACAATGTTAAAAGATATTCTATTTATTTTTTTGATCCATCGTGTGATTGATTCACTGTTGTGAAGTTTGACTATTTTCTTCTCTCATATGTTCATACTCACCACTTCCTTTTCTGCTCGGAGGTTGGTGAAGAGGAGATGATCCCAGAGAGCCGCTGATCAAATCTAGATCTTGAGCAGTTTCATTCAGGACTGGACAGCTTGCGCTGAGCCTTGCCATTTGAGCCAGTAACGGATTGAGGGCGAAGGCAGCGAAATCTCTGGAGTTAGGACCATATGAACCTAAAAAAATAGTGTCACTTGGTGTGCATTCAACGCCTATGGGAATGAAACGCGACGTTTATTAGATCTCTTCAATAAATGTCGAAGGTCGAGGATTCAACTGATCGCACCAAGGATTCTATGCATCTTGACCAACTCTAATTGTTTTGAGACAAAATGCATCCTAAGCAAGTCTCAAATCGATTAAGCGTGTTTGTCAAATTATGAAAATTCTGTCAACATCCTCCGCTTTGCTTGTCAAATTCATTACTTCAGAATTTAATTACAGGGTCTTCCAACAGGGTCTTCCGAACTTTGACAACTGATAATAGCCATCTTGTTGGCTACATTTGTCAAATTAGTTGTCATTTACATTTTTTTGCCAAATCACCATGGAAGGATATAGCATTCAACACCACGTGCAAATAATAACATTGTTTTACCGAAATGGTATCCTGTTCGGGCAACGTACCGCACGCTTCACCCATTTTACGGTCACCATAATCGTCCTAGCGAGGAAAATGTGGTGGTAAACAATCGACCAACACCCATACGTTGACGAAACGCAAGATCTGCCGAAAACATCGCCGCTGTCTGTGAGAGTGTGCAGGAGAATCCTAGGCAGTCTATTTCGCATCGCTCATAAAAACTCGGCCTTTCGCAGAGCGAATGGGCTAGTTTCATGCTATTAAAAATATTCCTGGTTTGCTTATATACTGGTCGAGTTAGGGGTAAATTATACTTATCAAGCCTAATCGGTCCCAAGATCTCTTTATATTTGCAGACAAAAGAACAATTCGAGAAGCAAGAGTTTAAATTGGCCGCGTGTCTGCTGACCAATGAAATTGATCGTGTCTACAGTGGTGTTGCCAAGTGTATTGGTTTTTTTAATATCCACAGAACTGAAATATAGTGATCCAATTTGACAAGACGCCATTTTTGTTGTTATTGTTGTCTAAAAAAATCCGCTTACTCTGAACGGTGACATTTCGCATGTGCTGCACGCTCTCGTGCAGCTCCCGGACCTGTTGCAAGCTGTCCTCCAACACCGGATAGGTCTTGTTGGCGGGCGAATGGGGCGTCACGCTGATGGTGGGCAGCGGTCCGGGGCCGGGGCGGGGCAGCATGTCCAGCGCCGGGAGGTGGTAGTCGGTGATGACGTCCTCGTCACTGTCCGCTTCTCCTCCACTTTGGCCACATTCATCTGGAAAAAGAAAGGAATATATATGAAAATAGATACTTCGAAATGATCATATCGTCAAAGAGTAAGGTGCTGGTTTACAGTTCAAGAGGTAGTTATGAAACGGGGGACTCGCCTAGGATAGATTCAAAGTACGTGGGTCTATTCGATCCCCCACTGCAATGAACGATGCTTTATGAAAATAGTTACTTCGAAATGGATATATATTCAGAGTTGAGTTTACCGTCCAATATGTAAGCAGGAGTGGGGCTTAGGTTAGATTAGGTTCACACCAATTCAAATTCAACCAAGATAGTCCAATCTCCTAAATAAACCGACTAGTTTATTTGGTGAATAATCTTTCAGGTCAGTTGGCGAAAGTGAAACTCCGCCAAAACTGGTACTGGTCGCGGCGGGGCATATACGAAGTATATTTAAGAACACAGCACGATTGAAGGGAAGAAAACCGGGTGGGTAGCAGATCAAACAAATTTTCTCAGAGGACATCGTAGCTGTTTTAGATCATAATCTCATCGATGGAATAGATATTTTTATGAACAATTGTCATTTTCTTTGCCATATCAACTCCCAGTCATTCTCGCATCCAGTTAACCATGGAATAAAGTAACGAAGAAAAGATGCAAATTTTGGATCTACTATACTGAAGGTATTTTCAATTCATCAGTGAACCAACAGCTATCTACTCGTGTATTTCCTCACCCAGCAGTATCCAGTCTTTTCCACACGAGATTACCAGTGTATAAGGCAGGTCATAGATGACCGTTAAAAGCATTAAATAAATCGGGGGTCATTTCCAGATGGCCATAACTTTCAGTGTTAACCAGTAGTCTACAACGTTCCAGTTAAGCCTATTTTGTGTATAAAATTTGCACAATTATGTATGTTGTTCATCTAATCTCTCTTCAGAAAGATGTTATTGACCTGACCTGAGGAGTACTGATATTAATGAACGAAATGGGCATTTACAACGGTTTATCATGGCTAACAACCATTTTGAACATACCTTTTTAAACATGAGATGTGGGGAAGTAATTAATGTAACATTAGGAACTACATTTATAAGTAACTATATTCAAAAATATATACATTCTGATGAAGAAAGTTGTTCAGATCATCGGTATCTAAACTCTGAAATCGGAAAGCAACACCAGGCACTGTAAGGCTGACCTGTATATTTACTTATATCGAATGTGTTTTAAAATTTGGAATTCTTTAGTAAGAGTTAGCGGTAGACCGATTACGGGGACAATTACGAAATTTACGTAAAACGAATATTGTCCCAGAAATGAAACGTGTATATTTCCTGATGGAATTCAGATATTGTACTGTTGAGGTGAGCAATCACAAATGCATCCATCTGACTGCAACAAAAAAATTGAGGAAATTCAAGAGAGACTCACGAAGTAGGTGCGGAGAAGTTGAACCAATCCAAGTAAGCGTTAGAATCTAAATCCTATGTATGTCATTTCTCTAAAAAATATTCTTAAAACAAATAACACACTTTCCAAAATGAAAAATTACCATTATAGATAGGAGTAACGCATAAGTTCAGAACCAAAGGTCTTCAAAAGGGTATCCAGGAATGATCTGTAGGTGGCAAAAAAGTAATAGATTTGGAGAACAAAAATAGATCGTAAAAATGGCAATCTAAAAGTATCGTTGCAGAAAGGACTGGAATTTCTACCTCAAAAACTGTGTATAATCGTGAGAGTATTACGGTCAGATCATTTGTTAAAAGACAACGGTTTCGCGACCCAGTATACGTACAAGTTGGCATTTTATGGAAAAAACGAAGATAAGTGTCATAGAAAACTGATCTACTTTGAAGAAACCACCAAAAGTAGTGCCTCTTTTAAAAAAGAAATTATTGTTTATGGTTCTTGTTCGAAAATTCGTATAGGGCGAAAGAGGATAATTTTCCCCGAAAGAATGAAAGAACATATGGGTAGTTTTTCGAATTAAAATACAAATGAAATATTTGCAAACCAGACGAGCGAATCGTGATTACGAAAGATATGTGAGAGAAAATGGTAAAATAGGTTGGAAAGTAGAAACATAAATCATGGGACAGTAGCCGGTTGGGTTGACGTGGGTGGTTTGCTCTACTCACTCAATCGACCGCTGTGTGAACCGGTGGTTCGAATCACAAGGCCGGACGATCGATTTTCACTTTCTATCGTGCAACCCGTGCTAAGAATCACACGTTAAAAGGTAAGACCTCGTTAGTCCTTAGCTCGCACAAGTTTCGACTTTTGAGAGTTGGTGTTCATAGGGGTCCGACAGCTAGTTAACGGAAAAACAGATTTGAAATAGATTTTTCAAACAGATGAAAGGAAAACGAAAATATGAATGTCACGAATGTTATTAAAATCGGAACTTATGACAAGGAATCTATAAAAAAACACTGGGTGCTGAAGAAGAGCAAAGAAAAAATATTACAAGTAATACTCTGGAAGAGTACACAAAGAAGAGGGTTGAAGAAGAACTAATAATGGATCGGAAGGGAAAGAACATCATTGACTGAAAAGATAAGTTTTAAAGTTTTAAATATTATATATCATCAAGCCAAAAAGGCAAATGACAAATATATTATGTCCCAGGTCTAATATTATTAAATTTGTTTGACAATACAATATAATTTGAAAATATTCCACGTTGATGTGGCCGTAAGCCACACGAACACATTATTTAAAAAAGATATAAGCTGAGATAAATTTGAAGATAAATCAACCCTCGATTGCAGATTTGAGTAGGTATTTATTTCCACCCCCGTCAATTCACATCCAAAGGGCTATAAGGGGAATTTCAATTTCGATACACCCACTATCAAATCCCCCAAGAAGTCTAGTACACAGTAAATCAACTCAACCCTTTGAAAAAGCATTCTTCAATCTACGAAAATACCGGTCAACTTACGAATGAAAATATTTTCCCAGCTACGTAAATGAACCGGGCAAGAGCAAACAATGTCTGAACGGCGAGAAGGTCACAGGTCACAGATCCTAACTCGACGTAATGAACGAGATGATAAAAGGAACGTAGTGCCTGTTGTTTCCTGTTGTTCGAATAGCGAGTAGGTCGAACGGAAACGATTTGGCATTCTTAATAACGTTTACTAGAGATTCAGTCGATCAGAGTATCTATAGGTTAGAGTTCGTGTAGGTTATGGACAACATGAGAAGAAGGTTATATGGAACTCACAGGGTTCATGTTTTCTAACGGAGATGGGCATCGACTGCAGGATAACACAGCACTGCAAGAAAACAATATTTTCCAGCTAAGGTTCATAAATGATTTTAGCCATATAGATCAGTTTTTTTATCGTGCACACAATTTTGTGATCTACACTGTAAAACTATCAGTGAAACTGAACACAATGTGTTCAGTTTCACTGATATGTGCAGTTCTGAGCAAAATGTTCAGTACTTCGTGAATAGTTCCATTCTATCTGAAATTACAGTACATACATTTCTCATTCTTCATAAAATGTTCCATTCTTCCCAGTTTTACGCAAAATGTTCAGTTCTCCGTAACATGATCAGTTCCTCCCGAATGTGCAGTTCTAGGTATAATGTTCAATCGTTCACACAATTTTCAGCTCTTCTGAAATGTTCAGTTCTACGCAAAATATTCAGTTTTACCCCAATACGAAGTTCTTCGCAAAATGTACAGTTCTACGCAAAATGTTCAGTTCTTCGCAACATTATGAGTCCCACTCAATTGTGCAGTTCTATGAATGATGATCAGTTCTTGTGAAATGTTTTACATGAATGACAGTTCTTCACTAAATGTTTAGTACTCCGCAAAATGTCCAGTTCTTCACAGAATACATAGTTCTTGTAAAATATTCACTTCTTCGGGAAATGATCAGTTCTACCCAAATATGCAGTTCTACGTATAGATTTGCAAAATGTTCAGTTTTTTGCAAAATTATGATTTCCAGTGAACTGTGCAGTTTTATGAATAATTTACAGTTCTTGCAAAATGTTCTACCCGAATGTACAGTTCTAAGCAAAATGTTCAGTTCTTCACAGAATACACAGTTCTTGTAAAACATTCAGTTTTTCGTGAAATGTTCAGTTCTACCCAAATATGCAGTTCTACGTATATATATTTGGAAAATATTCAGTTCATCGCAAAATTATGATTTCCATTGAACTGTGCAGTTCTATGAATAATGTGCAGTTTTTGCAAAATGCTTCATCGGAATGTACAGTTCTCCAAAATTTGTTTAGTTTCATCAGAATGCGAAGTTCTTCGCAGAGTGTGCAGTTCTACGTAAAATTATCAGATCCGCTCACCTATGCAGTTTAATAAATGATGTTCAATGATATTCCATCCAAATGTGCAGTTGTATACAAAATGTTCAGTTCTTTGCAAACTAGTCAGTTCCACTCAACTCAGTTCTATGAAAAATGTTCAGTTCTTACAAAATGCAAAATCCGAATACAAAGTTCTTTGAAAGGTGTACAATTCTACGTAAAATGTTCAGTTCTCCGTAAATATATCAGTTCCAAAATATATCAGTTCCACTCACCTGTGCAGTTCAATGAATAATGTTCAATTCTTGCAGAATGTTCTATCTGAATATGTAGCTCTACACAAAATGTTTAGTTCTACGAACATGTGCAGTTGTACGCAAAATGATCAGTTCTTTGCAAAACGATGAGTTACACTCAGCTCAGTTTTATGAATAATGTTCAGTTCTTGCGAATGTATAGTTCTATAGAAAATATTCAGTTTTATCCGAATGCGAAGTTCTTCGCAAGGTGTGCAGTTCTACGTAAAATGTTCAGTTCTCCGTGAAATTATCAGTTCCACTCACCTGTGCAGTTCAATTAATAATGTTCAATTCTTACAAAATGTTATATCCGAATGTGCAGTTCTATACAAAATGCTCAGTTTTACAAACATGTGCAGTTGTGAGCAAAATGTTCAGTTTTAAGTAAATATTCAGTTAGTTCTACACAAAATGTTCAGTTCTCCGCAGAATGTTCAGTTCTTGTGAAC